CCCAAATTCCTGGGATCCTGATTGAGGGAAGTCCTAAAAGGCCGGTGTCCTCTCCTGTGTCCACAACTGTAGCAGTACTCTGATGGCCTTCAATCCTGCTCTCCAAATTTTAAATATGGAGTCAGAGCCAAGGGCCAGAACTTCAGGAAAAGCCCCAGAAATTCCCTGCAATCAAAAACAGTGGCAAAGCTCCCAATTTTCCAAAGCATGATATAGTTGACTGCACATGCCAAATGTCTCCGAATCCTGCTGTTTGCTTTGAATCATGGCCACACCGCCTATACAACCCTTACACATTTATATCTACATATTTGCATTAAATCCTGTAATTCCTCTTCAGTTCTGGCTTCTGTGATCTCTTCACAAGATCTATACTCCACAGCTATTTTACCACTTTCTGAAATAAAGTTAACAATCAATTCAGAATTCTTGTTCTAAAACTTCCTGTCTACAATAGGAGCACCCAATCATTAGACATTCTTTTAATTTCTAAAAGTGGAAAATAGCATTTTCCTAGAAGTAATCTCATCTCACACTTCAGTTTTTATCCTATTTGTGGGAAATTACATATGAAGTATCAACTGTGTTTCAAAAAATTCATGATCTTAGAGAGAGGAACTAAGGAATAACAACATAGGATGTAAAATCGTGGAAACAAAAATGTTCAATTACAGTATGATTAAATAGTAAGGCATTATGTGGGGTCAAAGTGAGTTCAGACCTACAGTAGAGACAATTGGGCTACAGTAGGTATGTTATATTAGAAGCAAGGCAAGTATCCACTCCCTGGAAACCAAAATTCCACCAGATATAATGAACAAAGCTTTGAAGAGAGAGCATTTGAACACTTTATTGGCAGAAATTGGTCCTTGTACTTTAGTGAAACACAACTTTCTGGAAGGCAAACTAGAGCCACAGGCTTTTTGGTTTAAGTAGTTTTAAGTGTGTACAAGGATATATAATTAGGGAGGGGCAAACAATTCAAACATTTAGTCTGGTTCTTAAAGGCTGTTACTCAAGAGTTGACAGCTGATGGAGATTCTACCTGATGACCAGGTAAGTAAACCTTCACTACAGGGTGGGGAGGGTCCAGGCTGGAAGTCTAAGAGCAAGCCAGGGTAACTCTTAAAAGCAGATAAGGTCTCTGACAAGTATGCTAGGACTTCTTAGTCTCTGATTCCAAAACATAACCTAATAAATTATCCAACAGGATAACAATTATAATTATAATAGTTAACATATTTTGTCTGCTTACCATGTTCCAGGCATATTTGTTTTTTTATTGTCAGCATCTCTCCCTTCCCAAACTTCTTTCTTCTGAACCAAACCCTAATTTTGTTTAGGTATCTCTTCCTCCAGTGCTTTAGAGGTAACTGACCCTAACCCTAGCTCAAGGTATGGATCCTGATTAGTATTACTCAGTTCTCCTAAAAACTGTTACTGGATTGGAATGGACATAAAACCAAAGTTGGCCCAATTATAGAAAGGAAGGACGTATATTCCACACTCGGGTGAATGTTTTTCTCTTGCCCTCTCCGGCTAAGTGTTACTAAGGGAAGCAAGTGTATGACAGTCTTACAATCATGAAGGAAATAAGCCTTATGATGAAACAGCATTGTACGTGGAAGACCTAAAAGAAAGGGCCGGAGTACTTAACGACAGAATTTTTTAATTGAACAGCCATAGCCACCTATGGTATCTCTGTTATGGAAGGTAATTTCTTGATTATTTGAGTGACTTTTAGTCACATTTCTACTGCTTATGCCCCAAAGCATTCTAGGTTGCAGGTACTGAATTAATAGAAAATTCCCAACACTAAATGAAACACAAAGAATAATTTTAGCACTTTGACTGGTTATATTTTACTGAAATGGTCCCTGAAAGAAAGGAAAATTTCAAATACTTAGAGATGAGAGATAAATAATGCCAAGAAAATAGAGACTGAACAAAGGCACGGAGGTAGAAATATGTATAATGATTTCAGAGGCCAGTAAATGAAGAAGTCTAGCCAAAGCAGATGGTTTATAAAAGAAAATAAAACTAGAAAGGAAGGTAAATTCACAATGTGAAAACTTCAATAATTTTTCTCCAGTTACTTTTTAAAGGGTGTAAAATTTGGTTTCAACTTTATCAAGACTTTTTTTTTAGGTCATCACTCATGGGTACATGGCTTTTTACCTTTTTGTATAATTTAAATATTTCACTTTAAAAAGTGATACAGAATTCCAATAAAAGGCATTATTTTGGCAAAAAAATTACTTCCACTTCTGCCCAAAAGTATCTTGATAATAACTTTGCCCTTTAAAATTAAACCATTTTACTAGTAAAAAACCCCCCAACAACCTGCCATTCAAAATAAAGTACCATGTTAATGTGAATTCTGTAAAATTCTGATACCTCAGAAATGTAAAGATGAGCTTGTTTTAGTAATTCTCCAATAATCAGAACATTGAAAGTAGTACCATCTCCTGTAATGTCATGAGCTGTTGCTACTTTTGCTATCAAGGAAGCTGTTGGGTGTTGAATTTGCTGGAAAAAGCAAGCAACAGATTAAAAAAGAGAAAGAATGAGATAAAAAAAAAATACTATACCAGGAACAATATAATCTAAGAAATGAAATAAGCTTTCTTCTACAAGTTCACAAGTTTTTTATGATCAATACTTAATAAATGTCAAGACCAAAATATAAAAACTGAAAACTAATGAGGTTTGAACATTTTATGAAAGAGTCTTTATCTCAGAAGGTAATGACATTTCCAGAATAAGATTAAATCTTCAATCTCAAAGACAAATACACTGACTAGAACTACAAAGAATTTTTTGTATTTCCATGATTATAAAGAACACGAGGCAGTGCCTTTAAGAGATGTAACTAATTTAAGAGAAGTGCCCCTAAGCTATTATTGGGACTATACAAAAGTTGAAAACAGTCAAAAAACATTTTTTATTGAGGTTTACTACAAGTTTATCTCATGACTGCAGTATTTAGCTGACAGCCTTGGGTTTAAAATATACAAATCGTACTACATTCTGAATTAAGTCTTGTTAAGGATTACTAGAGTCAGCAACATCAGCTCACCATCTCAAGAAGCAGCACACATGGCCATCTTTCGTGAGTTTGATGTCACCTGTACCAGAAACAAGCCTGTTCAGGAAACAGGGATGTTATTAACCTCAGATGGCAAGAGTCAAGCAAGACATTTCCAGTGCTTGCCACTCCGCTATCCTTAATATAAGGAAATGGATTTGGAGTATTTCCACAGAACCATGGGGAGATACCACAGTAATTACCACCACGTGCAGCCCACAGTATCACTTCTCCCCAAATGGGCAGCTATGGCAATTCCATTCTAAATGGAGTATTTACAAATTTAAACATAACAGCAGTTAATGAATTATGAGCAGTTTAGTAGAGAAGAGTACTTAGAAGTGTACAAACCACAGATTTGTGAGTTTCCTGCAAGTTTTTTATTTTGGCAAACTGCTACCATTCATTCACTCGACTTAGTTTCTTCTTGTTCCTCACACTTATTAGATCATCAGGTTCTGTCAAATCTACAGCCTCTTGAGTCCACCCCCTCCTATTTCAACTGCCATCATCATCTCTTGTTTGGACAATTTAGACAGCATCCTGGTATCTCCAATTGTAATCTATCCCCCACACGATATTTATCTTTCTGAAAGGCAATGTGACTCAACTCTGCGGTCAAAAATCCTTCATCATTTTTATGGCCTTCATCACCTTCAACGTAAAAGCCAAACTATTTAACAATAACATAGTTGATCTTTCCCAGTCTGGCTTATGCCTATTTTTCCTGCCTCAACTACCAAATGATAGTCTTTGGAAAATCTTGTGATTCCCTTAACACACCATGTTTGTTTTCTGTTGGATTTATACCAACGGGCTTTCTCGTTTCCAAAGTTACTCTGTCTATAAAGCCTTTACTCCCTTCTCCAACTGCTGCAATCGAATTCAAGACTTATCAAAAATCATTTTATTTGAGATGTTTTTCCTTCTCCCTTCTCCTATCAGCAATTAGTCCTTTCCCTCAGTTTTATATAATTCATATAATATATATGTATTATACACACACACACAATGTTTAGCACATTCATCTGTACCAGATATCATTAAGGACAGAAACTATACATTTGGCCACCTCTGTGTTTTCAGCACCCAGTTAGTACTTTTTTTCGTTAATATTTTGCTCATTCCTCTGAGAATGTATGTTTCTTATACCATGTCCTTAGTAGTCTCTTTTCCTCACTCTTCTAAAGTAATAATGATGTTAAACAAATACAGGCTGAAAGGTTGGATAAAGAACCGTGGCACGGAGCGTTCAAGTAACTTGCCTAAGGACTCCCAAGCATGGGGAACTTGGACTGGCCTGCAGGCTCCAAAGCCCTTTCCACTTCGGCAGATTGCCAAACAAAACCCAAACGAAGTCTTGAAGAACAGGGGAGTTGGGCGGCTTATGTTTCTAATGAGACACTCAATGAACTTTCTAAGGAACTAGAAACCCTAACCAAAAGCGCGGGGGCGGGGGCACAGCTACACTCAGCCCTTTGCTCTGGGAAGCTTTTCCCTTCCTCCCACCAGGATAGGGATGACCTCAGGGCAAGAATGAAAATGAAGGAAACCAGTCCCACAACTGTGTTCACGTCGCCTCCATCTCTTCGCACAATATCTGCCTCGGAGAGTCCCAGGCACCCAACAAACCCCCGGCGCCCTAACCGCCGTCTCACATTTTCATGGTGCCCTAAGGCCTCAAGTTGGTCCGCAGCACATCCTGCAACCCTCAGGCGGCGCTAAGATTGATGGCCAAGGCCGCCTGGGTCCGCGCCACCTCAGCCTTGGCGTTCACAGCTTTTACCGCAACCGTAAACGCATTGTGGAGACCCTGACGGTTGCAAACACAGCGGTACGCGCAAAGCGGAGGGAACCCGAGCGCCACGCCCCACGCTGCTGAGTTCAGTCAATCTTCGCCAGGACAGGAAGTGACGTTTCCTGGCATCGCCGGGACGGAAGCCAGTATCGCCGTGGGGCTGGTTGAGAAAATGGCGTCCTCCGCTTCTCCTCGCCCTTCGGCGGGGAAGCGCGTGGTGAATCAAGACGAACTGCGGCGGCTGATGAAGGAGAAGCAGCGTCTGAGCACCAACCGTAAACGGATAGAATCTCCACTTGCGAAGTACAACCGTTTGGGGCAGCTGAGTTGTGCCCTATGCAACGCGCCGGTTAAGAGCGAGCTTCTGTGGCAGACCCACGTCCTGGGAAAGCAGCACCGAGAGAAAGTGGCCGAGCTGAAAGGCTCGAAGGAAGCCCCCCAGGGCCCGTCCGCCAGCGCAGAGCCTCAGTCCGCCAAGAGGAAGGCTCCCGGTGCGGATAACCAGGATGCCAAAAGACCGAAGGCCTCCCCGGTGCCTCAGGTACAGCCCTCCACCTCCGCTTTACCCACCAACTTTGACAAAGTAGGAAAGGAGTCCACTAGAGCGACACTCAGTAAGGCTCCGGCACTCGGTTTGCTCCCTGATTATGAAGAGGAGGAGGAAGAAGAGGAGGAGGAGGAGGAGGAGGGAGGAGAAGGGAAAAGGGGGGACGCCAGCAAGCAGCCGCCTAACGCACTGAGCAGGGAACACTCACTCTCCTCCCCTAGGGAGGCAAGTAGTATGCTGCCAAATAAATTCTCGGCTACAAATCCTCCCAACGCTCCTTTAATTCCTCATTCAGGTTCAATTGAGAAAGCAGAAATACACGGAAAAGTAGTGGAAAGGCGAGAAAACACCGCGGAAGCATTACCGGAAGGGTTTTTTGATGACCCTGAGATAGATGCCAGGGTACGAAAAGTTGATGCCCCAAAGGATCAGATGGACAAAGAGTGGGACGAATTTCAAAAGGCCATGAGACAGGTCAACACTATTTCCGAAGCCATTGTTGCTGAAGAGGATGAGGAGGGACGGTTGGACCGGCAGATTGGGGAGATCGATGAGCAGATAGAGTGTTACCGACGGGTGGAAAAGCTGCGGAATCGCCAGGATGAAATAAAAAATAAGCTTAAAGAGGTTCTGACTGTGAAAGAACTGCAGAAAAAGGAAGAGGAGAATGTTGACAGCGACGACGAGGGAGAACTACAGGATTTGTTGTCTCAGGATTGGAGGGTGAAAGGGGCTTTGTTATAGGGTTTTAAAGACGCAAGGTTTCTCGATGATTGTATAAAAGTGCCATCTGTCATTATGATACCAGTTACCCCATGCCATGGGACTTGATAATCTGAGTTGAGTTACAGTGAGCCTGCGAAGATAGCACTTTCGAAAACAGGTGTAAAATGTTTTGGGGGTAGTTGTTTCTGAAATATTTTAAGTATTGCATACTAAAATGACAACTTTTTCACACATTTACAAATTTAAATGTATAATTTTGAGTTGTAAAGGCTAAGCTGTAAATATTGTACATAGTTAAATACATATTTACTTAAGTAATTCCGTTTCAAAATTTATAACAATAGAAGCCAGACCAACAAACTTCTGGATGAAAACAGGTGTGATTTTTCTAAGTCAGATTCAGGAGGGTTTGGGAGAGTTTATCTTGTGTTTTTAGGAATACTGCTCATAAACACATAAGTCATAGAGGGCTAATCAGTTCTCTGAGTGTTCTGTTTTAAAAACATATTCTAGGAGACTATGTTGAAAATACATGCCAAACACAACCAACCTCCTTAACCAGAAGTCTCTCTGGATTAAACCAGTGGTTTTCAGATGCAGATGCATGTGAAAATCATCTACGAAGTCTTTGAAAAGATGCATATGAATCATCTATGAAGCTATTTAAAAATTCACGTGGCCAAGCCTTTCCACAGAGATTAAATAAATCTGAATTGGGGCACAGGTATCTATGTTAGTTTTGAAAGTTCCCAGGTTATTCTGAAACAAAATTGGTGAACCACTGCCCCAAATCCAAAACCCATTTGTATTTTTTCAGGCTTTTTTTTTTCTTTAAAAAAATACATAAGTTTATCATCCACTGTATAAATTTTGCTACTACATTTTGTAGTAAGTTAGGGTTAAGAGTTTGTTACAGTTTCTATCTACTATAGGAAGGATATATATATGTAAGTTTTCTCCAGGCTTGTGCTGGTCATTGATAGTTTAAATCACTCTTTCTCCCTTTGGAGGTAGAGGTGTTCAAATAGGGAAAAGGAATTAGCAGTATTCTGGGATAGAAATGCATACAGCATACTCAAAAGTGAGCAGTACTAATAATAGCTAAGACTTATAGTTATTATAATATGGGCCAGGCAGGGTTCTAAGTGCTTTCAAGAACTGTTTTATTGCCCTAAAGCCCAGGTTTTATGAAAGAGATCTAAGATGTGAAAAAGCCTTGAATGTTAGATGAAAGAACTCTTCCTGTAAGCAACATGGGAAAAGTGGAAGCAACATGGGAAAAGAGCAAAGGATTATGTCTGCAAGAAATATTATGAAAGGTTATTTTATCTGCACTGTAAATAGAATGGCATGAAAATGGATAGGGTGAAAGGAAGCTAGGAGACTCCTTAGAAAGTAGATTTTAAAAGCAAGGTGACCAAAATTTTGAATAGGTGTGGATTGAGAGAAAAGCAACACAACTGACAGAAATTCACAGGAAGAGTTTGTGGTTTAGTGACTAGGAGTGGAAGAAAAACAGGAAGGATAAAGATGGAATTCAAGGGGTTGGGGTTTTTTTTAGTGTGGGTGCCTAAAAGTTATCTAACACTGAGTATATTAATTATCTTGCTGCCTTTAGCAGAAAGTGCTTTTTTTGAGCTGTCAGATGGTCAGTGATAGCAACTTCTATTTGATAACATAGAAGGCATGCCTGCCTCAAATGTATGAACCCACACATACTCATCATTCATGGTGGGGCTTGAATGAATGTAAACCCAGTTCTATATTGGATTGAGAGGCTAGGCTAATGATCTGGAGGAGCACTGTCCACTTAAAAATATAAAGCAGGTCACATATATCTTAATTTTCTCGTAGCCACAAGGAAAGTAAAAATGCAAAATTTGTTTTAATATATTTATTTCAATCCAGTACATCCAAAATATTAATGTTCCAATATGTACTCCATATTTAAATATTAATGAAATTTTTACATCCTGGGGGTTCTACACTTTGGAAATCTGGGTGTATCCAACACTACATCTCAATTTGGCCTGGCCACATTTCAAGCCTTCACTAGCCTTATGTGAGTAATGGCTACCATAAAAGACAGTGCAGATGTAAAGAGAAAGGTATGCCGGTGGAAAAACAAAACACACTCGGGGTAGTCAGCAAACCAGTTTAACTAGGGTAAAATGTTCGTTACTGACAACAGTGGGAATTGTGACTGCAAAGGTAGATTATGAACCATTGTAGAGCCTTCAGTGCCATGCTGGAAGGAGTTGGGACTTTCTCATAAGTTAACAATTGAGTATCCTTGAGGTTGAGTCCTCAATTGTAACAAGGAGTGCCAGGTATGTGCTAGTACACATATAAACCCCATTGGGTTTTTAGGAGGGCCAGAAAGCTCTCAAAATCTGCTCCCATTGCTCTGTCCGAGAGCACGAGTCATAGGGCCCTGACCAAAACCAAATGAATCCTTGTTGGATCTGAGGTTGATGTGAACAGCTACAGGGCTTAATGGATCCTTCCTGGTCCTCCACGCATTGGAGAACTCCTTTGTACTCTGAGCTGGGGCAAATAGGTTTTGGCATGAGACTGTGTTCCCAACATTGTAAGAATTAGTCCCAAGAGTTTCTTCCAGTCCTCTTTTTAGAGAACCCCCTAATTCAGCCAACAAATTAGAATTACCTGCTACAAACGTAATCCTCTCAACCCACTTCATTTACCAATTTAATACAGTTCCCTTAAATTGGGGGAAAAGAAAGATCTAACTAGCCTTCAGATGTGCATTTGTCTAGTGCCTAAAATTTACAAAATGCTTTCATATATAATTCATTTAATGGTGGACTACTTTTTTACACACCAAGGACCAAAATAAGAGGCTGTGGAATTAAAACTGCAGGAAAAAGTATAATTTAGGCCTAAAACCTTTAATAGTAACAATCACGGGATGAGTATAGAGTAGTAGAAAGAGCAAGGGAATTAGCAAGAGAAAACAGCTGACACAGGTTCAATTTCCCATCCTACCTTTCAGTGGCTACTGATGTTGGGCAAGTCACCTCTCTGAACCCTAGTTCACTCTATAAAATGATGATACCTTACAGGGTATGATGAGAATCAAATGACATGTGTGAAAAGGGTTTATAAACAAGTACAGTAAAAGTATTTCTACTAGAAGCATCTGGTCTTCCTCTGCGTCATGCTGCTAACTTGCTAACTTGATCTTTGGCTAGTAATTTAACACCCCCCACCCTTAATTTCCTCTTTAACATGAGGGGAATCAGAGCAGATGATTTTGCAATTTCTTTTAATTTCATATCCTTAATTTTGCCATAAAGAGAAATGACATCTCACCTTTTAAAGAATTTTAAAGTTATTTGGTTGACTATCTGGAGACAGATGTCCCAAGTATTGTTACTTTTGCTTAGATTTACCCAGGATAATCCCAACTGTCTTGGTATAACTAGGAATATTGCCCCCTTTCACTCTCAACACTGTGCCGTTTTGGAGATACATATATATATATATACTCACCTACCTAAAAGTTTGATGTGAGGAAAAAACACTTTCTAATGAATACAGAATGAAGGATCTTAATGGAAGCAGTCTGCTGTTAATGATGCACCAGTTGGCTGGCTGGCTGGCTGGTTGTGTAGGGACATTTGAGTAAGTATTAGGTAGAAAGGGTGGCTAGATAAATGACCTTACATTGCTTTTTTAACACTAGGAGCCTAGTAGCCTGTATGATACTAGGAATCTAGAAGCTTTAAATTTGAACAGGAAATTAAAAAATCCTGAAACTCTGCTTCTATTTTCTATCCTATTTCCTCCCTAAGTGATCTCATACATTCCCATAAGTATCACCTATATATTAGGGAGCCCTATTTTTATCCCCAGGCCTTGACCTTTCTCATGGGAGTTATCCTTCATTCCCTTTTCTTATCCTCCAAGTAATGCATAATCAAGTCCTGGAAACTCTACCTCTCAAGTGTGCCCAGAATCTGCACTTTTTTCTGTCTCCACTGGTCCTAGTCACCAAACTATCTTGCATTAAGTGTTGGCACCCCACCTTGCCATACCCACAGGCTGTTACCAACATAGTAAGTAGTCAGTGGTCTTTCAAAAATTTAGATCAAGTCACTCTTCACTTCAAACCCTCCATTATATACTTCCATCACACTTGGAGGAAAAAAATCCACGGCCCTCAGTAGTTACTAATTCAAATGTCTACTAATAATGAACGGATGACCACAAGCCCCAAAACAAGGATGGGTGGGGGCAGGTGAGCATAAGTGCTCTGTGTTGAAATCCATTGTTACAATTTGGATGACCACAAGCCCCAAAACAAGGATGGGTGGGGGCAGGTGAGCATAAGTGCTCTGTGTTGAAATCCATTGTTACAATTCAGGAATAGCTGGTGAAGTATTTAATTTTCAAGAGAAATTGCAAGTCAAGATTGTTTTTGTTTATAGTGAAATCTCAAAAACACTGTAGGCTGAATGTGATCCATGGGCCCCCGTTTGTGACCTAACTTCATCTGCTGTACTTACTCTCCCCCTTAATTCTCTATAGCTAAGCTAGATCTCGCTGGCTAACTTTCTCTTCCTCAAACATGCCATACCAGGACTTGTACCTTGCAGTTCCCTCTGCTTGGAACCTGACTTCAACTAGCATGGCAGTCTTATCATCATTCAGTTCTCAGCCCTCATGTCCCTTTCTCAGATGACATACACAGCCACACCCCCACCTCTGTCACATAATTCTATGAATTAATTAAACTTATCACTATCTAAAATGAGCTTATTTGTACATAAGTTATGTCTCTCGCACCAGAATGTAAACCCCACAAGGCCACAGAGCTCACCTGTCTTGTTCACAACCTAAAATTATGCCAGGCACATAATAGCTCAATAAATATCTATTGAATTAGTAATAATGCCCTCACAGCAAGAAATTGCTGGGAAAGTGGTAAAAAGACCAAGCTGACTCATGGAAGTCAGATCCAGAATTAGAGTCAGGCTTAAACAAAGGGCTAAAAAGTCTATTCCTGCCTTACGTCTCCTTTCCCTGGCACATGATAGCTCTTACCTATCCCGGGAGCAGCAGCTCAAGGAGGTATACACAACAGCCCCAACAGTGCAATAGGCCACCCCCACATTTAGCAGGTAGTAAGAATTCCTCATGGCACCAAACAAGCACAGAGGGATGACCATATGTCAGGGCAGCAAATGGGAAGTCCCAATGGCCTAGAGGCCTCTTAAGTGGAAAAAGGAGGGATAACGTGACTCAGTAGCAGAGTAAGATAAAAGAATCAGGAAGTACACATTGCCTCCCAGCTG